CCCCAAAACCCCAAAACCCCAAAACCCCAAAACCCCTTTTAGAAAATTCTATGTTGAACAAGTAATTTAGCTAAAAAGCAGCAAAATGTTGGGTCAGATTTTTCTTCAATTCCTTCGAATCAATATGATCAGGGAATAGTTCAAGAGACTTCTGAATCATTTTGTAACTTTCTTGGAAATCTCCTCTTTTCCAGAGTAGAAGAGCAGAATTGTATCAAGGCTCAAAGAATTCTGCCAAGGTGGAAGAGCTTTGGAAATTAGCCTTTGCCTGCTCAAGATTACCTTTTCTGAGTTCGAGTACACCAAGGTTGTTGAATGATTCAGCATGCTGAGGATTAGAACTAACTGCTATTTTATATGCCTGATATGCAAGTCCAAGATCTCCTATTCCAATAGCAACATGTCCAATATTGTACCAGATGTCAGCAATATTTGTATCATCAGCAAGCGAGAGAGCTCTCTCAAAACAAGGAAGGGCAATATCATATTGAGAAGCATAAAAGCAGCATAGACCAACATTATTCCACAGTTCTGAATTATTTACTCCACATTGTATAAGTCTTCTGTAAAACCTTAGAGCTATTTCAGGCTGGTTGGTATAAAAGTGATAACTCGCGAGAGTGGCAATTGCTTCAACATTTGTATTATCAAAGTTTAAGACTACTTTACAAAGCTTATTTGAGTTAGTGGGGTCATTAATAAACTCATAAGTCCTGCTAATACCGGTATACAAATGAACTTCGAAAGGATGTGCCTCTAACCCACTTTGGTACACTTCTATTGTCTTAAGAGCCTGGTCTCTTCTCATTGATACTTTAGCCAACTCAAGGTGAGTCACAATCATGTCTTGAGTTTTTATAGATGACTGTAGCTGTCTTTCGGCTTCTTTTATCATTCCTAATTTTAGATATCATTTTCCGATTCTTTCTTTCCACCACCAGTCTTCGTACTTTGAAAGAACTGTAGCTTCAGAAGCTACATCTAGAGCTCTTCTGAAATTTCCTTCTACATAGATAAGGTAATCGACGACCGCTTTTGCCATATACTTTTTCTTGGCAGTATTCCGAGCGTTAATCTTATCAGCTTGGATAAATTGACCACCTGAATTTGCCATAGAAGCTGTTCCGATACGAAGCATTCGACCACCAGATGTTACAGCTCTATTCGTGCCAGGTCTGTTGGCTTTCATTGCAGTGGTTAATTGTCCTCTACTCGAGCCCGCTCCCATTCTGCTACTTCCTGGCCTCATATATCCGGAGATAGGCCTACCAGAATTACTCATTGGTCTAACATTCTGAGAGATTCCTCCATTTGCACTTGAGGTGGGTCTCGAAAAGCTAGTTCCAGGTCTAGGAGCAGTTGCCATTGCATTATCATCCATGAGAATATCTGCAACACCTTCTTCGTCAATCTCAAGGTCATCAATATAGTTTTTCATAGTCAGTGCTCTACATTTAAGAAGCCATGTGGCCTGGTCATACTCATTTTTCTTCAGGAGCTCAGTACAGATTTCGATACAATCGTCATATTTCTGACGCTTGAATTTGCTCATGGCAAGGACAAATTGATCCATTTTTAAATTTATAAAATTTAACAAGATCAATAATATTTTTGGGAAAAGGGGTTTTGGGGTTTTGGGGTTTTGGGGTTTTGGGG